GGAAGTGTGAGTAGAGCCGCATGCCACCGAACAATCAGCCTTTTCACTGTGTAATTCAAAGCGTGCAGAGCAGGCTGGGCTACAAACCGAGAATTTGTTGTTTGGCAGGTGGCCTTCGTGGCCAAGCAAGGCAGGAATTCTTGGAGTCGGCTTTCGGAAAGAAATTCCCGCCGAGAAGGGGTTAACTTATGTATACATACAGTAATTTTGTCATCGGTAGGGTTACATGTACTTCATTTGCATACACGCTACAGTTGTATGCGCACCTTTAGCCTAGAATACGCGTACTAGAGGTACATTCAGCCCTGCCGAAAACCTATAAAAGGCGAGCTGTTACAGCTCTCAAGAAGTTCAGTTCGCCTCCAGGACAGGCCTTCTTGAAAGAAGCAATCTGGAACCAGGAAGAAGCAAGAACACGAAAAAGAGACGGTAACAGGAGAGAAAAAGGAATACTCAAGGGTTTAGGAAAGTAGTAAGCAAAGCAAGAGACACAAAGGCCATTCCGGTGTGAATAACTAAAGCTAGATTACTGTACTGATCAAGTGACGTCTGATGTACAATGTACATGTACACTATATGTGTATCGTAGAGCTACATGTAGGAGTACATGTATGTACTATAGAACAAATAGTGATGGTCATAGTTAGATGTTGGACTAGCTGACAATAGTGACAGTCCAATTATGTTTTAAGTGCAGCAGCAATAACTTGTGGGGAATCGTATGCAAACTGAATCCACCTCATCTAACAAAGTGTTTGATTACTACCGGACGATGATTTGGGGTTTGAATAAACAAGAAAACTAATTCTGATTTCTAGCAAGCTGTCTGGACCGAGTTACATCTCAGTCTGTCTGAACCTGTTTGCTCGTCATTTGTCTGTCTAGGGAATCTGCCACGGATGATTTGTGGGACACCGGGAATTTGTGGTGGGGCATGTGCCCCACAAATTCCTGGTTACCACCCACTGAAAAAACCTATGAATGGATATTGAACAAAGCTAACAAAAACTTGCTCCCAAAAAACCATACCACTGAGAGCTGGTTCCCCCTTCCCCATAAGA